CATTGGGTCATGCATAAAAAGATATTTGTTGTACTGCATATGAGATATCAGGTCTCGTGAAAGTAAGATATTGAAGAGCACCGACAAGGCTACTGTATAACGATGGGTATTCGTAGGGAGTGCTAGATTTGGCGCTAAGCTTTAATTTAGTGTCAACCAGAGTGGGACATGATTCACAATATGACATGCTTGCTCATTCAAAAATTTCATATGCATAATTTTTCTGAGACAAGAAGAGACAACAATCATGCCGAGTAACTGCAATACCAAAAAAATAACTCAGTAGTCCCAAGTTTTTCATGACATATTCAGAGTTAAGTCTTGATTTGATAGACTTGATGATATCATCAGAGGAGGCAAACAAAAAGATGTTCTCCACATAAAGAAGAAGATATGCCATGTGTGTATCTTTCTGGTAGATGAAAAGAGAGATGTTCAACTTGCTTTGAGAGAATCCAATAGAATATACATAATCTGCAAATTGTTTGTACCAAGCTCTTGGAGCTTGCTTGAGCCTATTTAATGATTTTCTCAAACGATAGACATGATGAGAATGATTCGGTTCCTTAAAACCAAAAGTCTGATGGATATACATTATTTCTTTGAGTCCACCATTGAGAAAAAGCATTATTGACATCAAACTGGTGAACTTTCCATGCTTTTGATAAAGAGAGACTGAGTACCATTCAGACAGTGGATGATTTAACAACCATACTAAAAGTGTATTTGCAATCTGTGCTAACATATTGACCTACACCATTACCTACAAGTCGGGCTTTATGCCTATTAAAAGAACCGTCTGATTTTTCTTTATGCCTAAAAATCTACAAAGAACAAATAATATTTGCATCAGGTGGATGCGGTACTAAATCCCTTGTCTTATTTTGAATAAGAGCATTATACTCATCATCCATATCCATTTTTTAATTTGGATCTTTTAGTGTTAACATAGGGTTACGAGGGATAGGAGATTTTGTGACATCTATGTAAAAATTTATGTATTTTTGGTTGGGTTTAAAATGTTGTGTTGGCTTCTCGTATCCACTTTGTTGTCAAAACTAAGGGTAGGATAGTAAATTGGAGGAAGATGGATATTTGGTGTAGTAGATGGTAAAATGTTGTGTGGGTCGCTTGAGAGGTGGGTTGGACTAAGTTGTGTGTTTGGGTGGGGTGTGTTAGGTTTGGCTGGGGATGTGGCTGAATAGATTGGAAAAGTTGTGCTGATCTTGTTTGATAAGGTGGTGGGGAACTTTTTTGAGTGATGAAGGCCTATATCATTGGATTTGGGCCATGTTGGGTGTGCTTCAGGCATGGTCACAACAACTGATGAGGGAGAATAAGGAATAAAATGGCAGAAGAATAAGAATTCAAGTGGAGGCTAAGAGGAGGTATGGATCGAAACCCTAGCTGATACCATATAAGAAAGTATTTTGATGTGTTTTATTGATCATGAACATGTATAATATACAAGAATTACAAATTGCATAATAGGAAACTAATTATGCCAAATCAATATAAATATTCTCTTTCTAATATATCATTGGTGTATAATATATTTTCCATATGTGTGTGTATTGTCATGTTCTGTCAGTTACATTTTACAAAAGAGATTTTAAATAGGGTAAATATGGTGGTTTGATTATGTGTAATGATTCATTTCTATGATTGCAATAATAATATTCTTGCATGTCAAGTTTTTTAGATGACTAAGGCAATGATTGTATTAATAATACTTTTGAGTTGTAGACTCGAACTTTGGTTAGTAATGTTGAATAGACTCACAAAGGTAATTTGATCAATCTACATGCATAACATGGATTTTAATCATGTCTATAATTGGAACGTGTGGCTGCAATTTAAGAAGAGGCTTACAAAGGTAGGTTGATTAATCTGCAAGTATATCACTTGTTATCTATGGTGTAAAGAAGGTGAAGTTCTTAAGAATATTCTAAATATGGTCTTAAATCGGTCCATGGTTAATAACAGTTTTCAGGTGGTTAAAGCGATCCTGAGGACAATGGTGTCTTTGATCTTATAACCTAACAGTTGTCATGCTAGAAAGAAATGTCTTTGTCATTCTCTATTTTCAACATGTTATGATTTTCAATATCGTTTAAAATATGTTTTAAACCAAACCACATTGAGGAGAATATGTGATGCTTAATAGGTTACTTGTTTTTGAAGTATCTACTTCTATTGGTCGTGGTCCATTATTTGTGTGTTGCGATCATTTTCCATCCAAGAGCAAGACATCTTACTTTATTAACGCTCTTGATTTTATACATACCAAATTCACCCGTAGAGATAGGAGTGCAAACTTTCTCTCAAAATAGAGTGACAATTTTTCTTGTATCAATATTGCCACACAAAATTTCTAATGTAGCTACCCAATTTATTCAAAATGACCACCAACCATTAATAAATTTTGAGGCTATAAAGTAATATTTAATGGATAGTATATCTAACCAGCTTGACACGATCCATTATTAAAAGAAAATATTATTTTTAAATAGATAGCTTAACTATTTCCATAAAATTTTATAACCTTTAAGAACATTATATTTAATAATGGGTGTCGTACATCGGAAAAACAGAATATGACGCTCGCGAAGCGCAATTGCACATTCGCGAGATAGATTGAATAGAGTCGTCACCGAACTTTATTTATTTCCAAAGAGGAAAAAGAAAAATATTGATAAAACCCCTAAAATAATGACAATGATTATGGTTGTCGCAACCAAATCAAAGTTCGAGAGTCGGTTATACAAGGGAAAGGTATTAACACCCCTCACACCCGTTGTACTCAACGGGAACTATTTAGTTAGTTGTGTACGTCAGCGTTAGCTTAGAAATGTTAGGCTTCTCGAGTTATTAAAAGAAAGAAGGGCAAAACTGTTTATTTTTATTAGGGTGCCTGACAATACTTTGAATCTCGATCCTATGTATCTTCGAGTGCGATGGAAAACTCAAGTCTATTTAGTTATGGGTAGAAAAAATATATATATTTTTTATCAATTTTAGCAAAAGCTATTTTGTCTCAATTGACAAAAAAACATTGTTTGCTACCCAAAACAAATGGAGAAAGGAACACTTGCATCCGAACAAATGGATAGACATATCTACATTCGCGAGAAAACGTAGCTAGCTTAATCACACATACAAGTGGACAAAGCGTTGTCTTGCATCGTCTCGAGACAAAATAACTTTCGTTTGAAAAAAGGGTTTGAAGATCATACAACAACGAGAAAAGAGTTTGATTGGTTGGATGTATTTTTTTTAGGTGATGACAAGAGTTCGGATGGTCGAGAACTACATCTTGTATCCCACCTTCCGGGAGCTTGTGGACTACACCATGTTTCTTTTTCATCTTTTTGTGAAAAAAGTCTAATGTTTTTAGGATTTTTTAGGTTTATTTGAAAAAAATGCACTCGATTTTATTTTGCATTGTGGAATTTTTCGGAGGAGAGTGTTCAGATGGTTGAGAGCTACATCTCGTATCTCAACTTGGGAGCTCCTGGACTACACCCCGTTCCTTTTCATCCAATTTATTGAAAAGTGTCAAAAGATGATTAGGTGTTTTCAATTTTTCATTGGGAAAAAGTATTTGATATTGGATCAAGCGTTTGATTATCGTTTACAAAAAAGGTTAGTTTGAGGGTTTGAAAATGATTGAAAGTGAAATGTTGAGAAGTTGGGATAGTGAAAATGGTTTGAAATGGATTGGTCTTTATTTGAAAAAAAAAAGGTTTGTCGTTGGATCAAGCATTATATTTGTTTTTTTTTTTTCTTGAAAATGATTAATTTTACGCTAACTTTAAATTAACAATTAACTAATGCAAAAAGAACAAAATAAAGGAAAATAGTAAAATTATCACACGTCACAAGAATGAGGGTACATTTTATCGAATGAGGATATAATTGAGCGATTAAAATACAAGTCAATTAAACAAGTAAACAAGTTAATTATCATTTAATCAATTAATTACCAAAGTTAATCAAAATTAATTAACATAATCAACTAACTAAAACAAGATTCACTTAATTGATTAAATGTAAACAACAAGGAGCTCATTGTAAGAAGACCCAAGAAAAAATCAAGAGACCGGAAATAAATTGAAATTTAGAGTATTGAATTTAACTCTAAACTAACTTAAAATGAATTCATGTAAGAATCACTATATAAGAAGCCAAACAAAAATAATAGTATTGCAAAGTCGAATTAGCAACACAGTGAGAAATCCAGTAACTCGATAAACTATATATATTATTTACAATGAAAAAATAAATCAAAATTTAAAGTATTGAATTCTCCTTTAAACTAACTTAAAATAGATTAATATAAAAATTATTTTATAAGAAGCCGAGCAATCGAATCTATATATCTAAACGATTTTTAAAAGATAAATTGGATTTAAACTCCAAAATCACAATCTAATAGTATAAAAATGTTTTTCTTCTTTCTGGCAATGCCTTTTGTGGTGATAAATTTCTAAGGAAAAGAAACGGACGTATTTTATGTGGTGATGGAAAGATGATGCATTCCAATGTAGTGAAAAAATTCCCCAATATTTCACATTTTCTACCCTTTCCTTATTTTATGATTTTTGTTTCTTTCATTTTTTTGTGAAGGAGAGTGAGAACAAATATTGGTTTTCTTAAGTTGATGTGTGTCGAAAAAGTGACACTAATAATCATGTTACAACTATTTTTCTAGAAAGATTCAATTTCATTAGCTTTAAATTTTTACTATTGAATTATAAATTTTCACAAATATTAAACAGTAATAAATTTAAGTGAGTTAAATGAGAAATTTGACTGTAAATATTAAGAACAAAACCAAAGTTGCATAAGGAATGGAATATGATGTTTGCATTCCACAATTGCTAGGTGACAGAAATGTTAACACTAGTGTCCAAACCAAGCATAACATAAAAGGTGATGCTGAGTTGAGTTGAGTGTGTGAATCAGTGAGAGAGTGAAAACTATACAACAAAAATAACATGGCTCACTTCAATGCAATTCTTGGATACTCATCTCCAGCTACTGCTATTGCTCCTACCACGCATGCAAGAGGTGATCTTAACTTGGAAATGATTGAAACTTTTGATCAGAGCCGCTCAAACTTTTGAGAGGTTCTGTGTAAAAAATTTAAAGTTAATTTCGTTTAGATGCGAGTTATTTTTAAAATGTCTATTTATTGTGTATGATGCATATGGAGGTCATTTTTATCATAGTTTAGTCAAGAAAAAAATGTGAGGTCCTGTGCCGTAGGTCCGGCCCTGCTTATGATTATTTGGTTTATACATTGTTGAAACTATCAATTTTTCAAAATGTTTACTTACTGTGATTTATGTTTGTAGAACACGTGCTTCATCACCGGTTCTGCAAGGCAAAGACTTCATCATTCAAAGAGGTACCTTTAAAAATTCACAAACATGCATGCATGCATTAGATCTATTGTGTTTTTTCTGGATGTTTTTCTGAGTGTTTTTTCTTCTGCATGTTTTGGAATTTTTGTATCTTTTCACAGTTGAGATCATCAAGATCAGGTGTTGGCGCTGCAGCTAAACCTCAAGGTGAGATTGTTTAGCTAATGATCTACACAGACACTTGACATGACACAGACACAGTGAGACACCGAGATCTGTAATAATTTGAAAAAATTGAAGTGATTAAATATAATTCTATGTGTCAGTGTCGGACACAAGACACGTGTTGGTTTGATGTGATAATTGATTTTAAGTTTAATGTTTGTAAATTGTAATGAGAATGGAATTCTATTTTCATGCAGTTGTGAAAGCAATTCTGCATAAAGATGTAGAAATTTCTGACACCAAGAAGGTTGATGGACTCAAAGGTAAATTGGATAAGGTTGTTCTGGCTTACAGCGGTGGCTTAGACACATCGGTTGTTGTCCCCTGGCTGAGGTATAGATGTTATCTTGTTTCGTTCCTTTCTGAATTCTCGTAATTTAGATTTCTATTTAACTTAATAAGATTTGATGTTTATGTTGCAGAGAGAACTATGGTTGCGAAGTCGTTTGCTTCACTGCTGATCTAGGCCAAGTATGTTACAATGTGATAAAGATTTTGTTCTGTGATTCTGTACTTCTTCGTTTTTATGTGATGCATGTTTGGTTAACAAATGCTAAATTTCATAGGGTGCAAGTGAGTTCGAAGGTTTAGAAGAGAAGGCAAAAGCTAGTGGAGCTTCTCAGTTAGTGGTGAAAGACTTGAAGGAGGAATTTGTTAGGGATTATTTATTCCCTTGCTTACGCGCTGGCGCGATTTATGAGAGGAAGTATTTGCTTGGAACCGCAGCAGCTCGCCCTGTTATTGCAAAGGTATATTTCTTCTTTAGTTTGAGATTCCGGCAATCTGCCTTGTTTTGTAGGGTTAAGTCAGGTACGACCCGAATTCTGAGAACCTCCATTTTGATATCTATACAAAAGTTGTACATATGAGAATCTATGGCATATATTGATACCTACTCACTTGATAGGCTATGGTGGATCTTGCGAGTGAAGTTGGAGCTGATGCGGTCTCGCATGGTTGTACCGGGAAAGGAAATGATCAGGCATGTATTGTTATTATTAGTCTCACATCAATTCAACATGGCAATTATGTTATTCTAACATGTTCTATTTGTAATTATTCAGATTCGGTTCGAGCTTTCATTTTTCGCTCTGAATCCCAAGTTAAATGTTGTGGCTCCGTGGAGAGAGTGGGATATTAAAGGAAGAGAAGATTGTATTGAGTACGCTAAGAAGCATAACGTACCGGTTCCTGTAACGAAAAAATCTATATATAGCCGTGACAGGAACATTTGGCACTTAACTCATGAAGTAAGTTTTTTAAATCTAGTTGAAGATAACAAATGCTATGTTTTCTGATTTGTTGTCACAGCATTTAAAAAATAAAATCAAGAAAACATTCAAAAGTGAAGTCGTTTTCTCATAAATTTCGATTTTGTGACCATAAAGGGCGATGATTTGGAAGATCCGGCCAATGAGCCTAAAAAGGACATGTACATGCTGACCACTGACCCCGAGGATGCTCCAAATCAACCAGAGTAAGCATGTTATTGATGAATTTATTTATTTTCTCGTCTACTGTCACTACTTACTTGGACAATGCGTTGCAGATACGTGGAGGTTGGATTTGAGTCGGGCATTCCCGTGTCAGTGAACGGGAAGAGGCTTTCACCGGGAAATTTGCTTGCTGAGCTAAATGAGATAGGTGCAAGGCATGGAATAGGCCGTGTGGACACAGTTGAAAACCGCATTGTAGGCTTGAAGTGCCGAGGAGTTAATGAAACTCCTGGTGGCACCATTCTATACACAGCAGCAAAAGACTTGGAGAGTTTAACTCTTGATCGCGAAACACTTCAGCTTAAAGACTCGCTAGCACTTAAATATGCAGAGCTGGTGTATGCTGGAAAGTGGTTCGACCCACTTCGGGAATCATTGGATGCATTCATGGAGAAGATCTCAGCGACTACAACAGGTTCAGTGACGCTGAAACTGTATAAGGGTAATGCTTTTGTGACAAGTAGGAAGAGTCCTTATAGTTTATATAGGAAAGATATCGCTTCGTTTGAAGACGGGGAGATATATAATCACGCCGATGCTGTTGGGTTTATAAGGCTTTATGGTCTTCCAATGAGAATCAGAGCAATGATGGAACAAGGCATTTAAATGCCGCATTTATTTTTATTTGGTTTCAATGATTGTGTCAGCGTGTGTGTCTGTGTCTTGCTTGTTCGTAGAAAATGTTTATCGAACCTTTTGTACTATGGGAAATAAATAAGGCAAAGTTGATTTAAATTGACCTATTTATTTCAACAAATAATACATTTAGATTCATACTCGGTCTATTTCAATATCGTCATATAGCGTGACAGCGACGATCTGTCACTGATGTGGCGAGACTGTCAAATTCTGTGATCACCATCAGCTGTTGTTTGGACTTGAGTAGCATACTGCAAGTTCCAAAGAACGTCCTCGATGGACGGCCGACTCCACGGCTCGGTAGAAGTACATTTGTTAGTTATAGAAATCACAGTAGATAGAGATTCTTTGCAGCAAGTAGCTTGCACAACTGGATCCACTATTTGTTTCCAGTCATCTTGATTATTGAAGGAAGCCTGAAAATTAGATCAAGATAAGCAATTAATTAAGCTTCTGTAATTGGAAGATTATAAGTCTCATGTGATTTGAGCATGTTTATGCAGACCATTGCACTTAGAAGAGATGCTTCTCTTTTAGCTGAAATTGAAGATCCAACAAGTGCTTCAAGTAATATGAATCCAAAGCTATAAATGTCATCCTCTAACTTTTTCATTTGCCTGAAATCAAACACGTTGAGAACCTTAAGGAATGACTCAAACGTTTGTTGTGTACCAAGAATAATTAGTAAACTCTTTGAGTAATAAGTTGAAAGAAGAAACAAAACCATGTGATTTATATAAAAGTTCTTACCATGAATTTGGGCTTTCTCCTTTTACCTACAAAGCAAAAGACATGTCATAAACACTTGTGAAGATAGACAAGGAACTGCAAGCACCAAATTAGACTCGAACACGGCACTGATATGTCGTTACTGATAATAATTTTAGAAAGTAAAATATTTGAGCGTAATTGGACACTTGTATTGGACACTAGCAAGTGTCAGACATCGGACACACCTTCGGTCACGCTTTGAAGTGTCAAACATTAACGCGGGTCAGACATTGAATATGTCTTCAATCTGAGTATCAGTAATGCCTTCAGACTGAAGTGTTAGACACGTCTTCGGTCTGAAGTATCAATCATGCCTTCAGTCTAAAATGTCTTCGGTATGAAGTGTCAAACATTAACACGTGTTAGACACCATGTCTTCGGTATGAAGTGTCAAACATTAACACGTGTTAGACACCAAACATGTCTTCAGTCTGAAGTGTCAGTCATGCCTTTAGTCTGAACTGTCAAACACTAACATGTGTCAGATGTCGGACATGTCTCTTCAATCTGAAGTGTCAGCCATGAATCTGAAGTGTCAGTCATGCCTTCAGTCTAAAGTGTCAGACACTAACATGTGTTAAACATAGGACACGTCTTCAATCTGAAGTGTCAGTTATGCCTTGAGTTTGAAGTGTCAGACACTAACACATGTTAGGCATTAGACATGTCTTCAATTTGAAGTGTCGTCACGCCTTCAGTTTGAAGTGTCAGACATTAACACGTGCCAGATACCGAACACGTCTTCAATCTGAAGTGTCGGTGCTACATGCAAGACCACCGTCTAGGTGGGAAAAAAAACAGAGAAGAAAGAAAGCATACCCCACTTTCATCAGTTTCTTCTGAGATAATGGACAAACCATAGTCACTCAACTTTGCCATACAATTTTCATTAAGCAAAATATTGTTGATTTTAAGTCTATTTTTGAAGAAACCAGGTATCATTCCAGTGTGTAAGAAGTGAACAGCCTTAGCAACACTGATAAGAACTGATAATCTCTCTGACCAATTCAAAATCTTCCCAGAACTATCACCTGAATATACAACATAAACAAACTTAAATTTAACGCACAATACAATAAACAGTTTCATAACACTGCAATCACCAGCTGCATTTCTCTATATTTTCTCACATTACCAATAAATGCAACTTATCTGCGAGACTGCAATTTAAAACCATGACCGAAACACTATACTTTACCTGAGAGATAAGTTTGAAAATTCCCATTTGACACGCATTCATAAACAAGAAAGACCTTTGAATCGTTACGCTCGCCTAAAATACCATCAGTGCAGTGTCCCAAAAGAGATACCAAATGCGCGTGACGGAGCTTTGCAAGCAAATCCAGCCTCAGTTTGAAATTCCGAATCGAGTACTTTTTCGACAAAGGTATACACCTTATTACGACAGGTATCCCACTCTCCAGTTTTCCTTTGTACAGCTGCAATATCAGTTGAGAAATTTCCATTAGCATCATTATTTTTTCCAAGAATATTTTCACCCTATGTATGAAATTTCGATACTTACCTTCCCGTATATATTTTCGCCAAGAAACGTAGAATTATCAAAGTTATTCGTCGCATTCATAAGCTCTTCCAACGAATACGATCGACACGGAGGAAGATCTTCTCTTCCTAACTTTGCAGCTTCAGAAACATACCCTGAAATTATTAACCAAAATCCAAAACTTACATCAATGATCATAACCGGTTGTATTTAAAAACTGTCGAATATCATGAATGAAGAAAACTTACTTGCATTTGCAATAAGCTCGGACGAGAACCCGGCTGAATAGCTATCTTGAACCGATTTATTCAATAGGTGTTGTTCTGAAATCCCCTTAGAGTACAACCATTTACAAGTAACAACAATGCATAAACCCAAAACCACAATGATAACAAGAATTCCAACAATGACACCAACGAAAACTCCCAATCGGTACGACTTCATCTTTCCATGAGCTTCATTGCAATAAGGTACTTCATGCTGATGCTGCAAACTTCCAGATAAACAGTTTCCATCACTCTTAACGACTCGGTTTTCCGACTCATTTCTTAGAGAAGAAGGCAAAGCTCCAACTAACCTATTGTTTGATATATCAACAAAACTAAGATTTTGGCCACATTTCATCTGATTTTGAAGTGTTCCACTCAATATGTTGGACCCCAAATTCAAGTAACGAATTTTCGGCAAAGAAAAAAGTTCAGAAGGAGTAGTTCCTGTTAGTGTATTGAAGGAAACATCAAGCTGCTCAAGACTATTTAGTTGGCCATAGTGTTTCGGAATCGGCCCTGAAAACGAGTTCCGGTTGAGGAAAAGCGTTATCAACCCTTTCGGCATTTCAGGTAGCAAAGAATCTAGTTCATTTTCTCTTAAATCTAGTTCTTCCAAGCTACTCAAATCAGTAAAATCTCGCAAGCTTCCTGATAACCGATTTCTCGACATATCAATGTTAGTCAAAGTTTTGATACTAAGTATCGAAAATGGAAATGGACCCTTCAACTTATTATGCTTCAAACTAAGAACTTCGAGAATATTCGATGAATTGAACGAGTTAGGGACAGTGCCATTGAAGAAGTTATCACTCAAAATAAGAGTTTGAAGGTTGAACATAGTAGAGATTTTCGGAGGAATAGACCCGTAAAGAAAATTCCAACTCAAATCCAAATACTCAAGTGAAAATAGTCTATGGATTCTATCAGGAAGTGGACCCCAAATTCCTAAAGAAACAAGATGAAGAACTTTCAACCCAGTTAACCTTGCAAGAGTGGCTACAAATGAGTCCACTGAGAAGGTTTGTGTCAGTGTTTGATTTGGAATAGCAAATCCATCAAAATCTCTACCATTATTCGGCTTATCGCCAAAGACACTTAACTCTGTGACAAAATTGTCCTTGCATGTGACTTTAACTTGTTTAGAAGAAATAAAGCAAATTTCATCCCTATGATCTTTCCATATTTCTAACTGTGTTGGAAATTCTAAGTGCTTTTGTAACTGCAGAAGAACTTGAGTCTGAGAGGATTGTAACTGACCACTGCAACTTCCAAAATAAACAACATACCAAACATAGCATAATAGCAAAACCAAGCCATGAAACTCCATTGAAAACTTCTATAGGAAGTGCTTAGCAATCGAAACTAATCGAAAACCTGTCCTACATAAATTAAAGGAGACACCATTAAAAAAGATGAAATCTAACAAGACCAATAAAAACAATCTATTCTTATTCTACCAGGTGAAGTCGGCTACATGGATCAGACGATACCGACGATACCATGAAGTTCTATCAAATTTGATATCTTTGGCAAAACAATTGACATCGAAATTTTTTTAACCTCTGATCTACTCTCTTTACTACAGAATCTACGTGCTTAGAGCCGTAGGGTGCTAACACGAGGTTGGCTTGCATAAAACTAAAATTGTCTCCTTCATTCAAAATTATTCACTAGGAGGTAGTTGTGAAAACATTAATGCAGAATGCTGAGACTTAAAAAAAAAAAACAGTTGAAGTGTTGAAAAACAAGGACTCAAGCAAGATGAGTATTGTTGGCTATAAATGAAGAAAAATAAATGCTACTATACTACTATGTGGCTAAAGAAAGAAAAGAAAGATCAAGTTTGGTATAGCCTTTGCTCAGAATCCAAGACATGAAAAGTGGGACATACCTGAAGTTAATACATTTACTGCTTCCACATGTGGTCTTTCTTCTGCAAACAAACATCAATAATGATTCTTATCAAGAAAATTTTCAACTGGGGTGGTAACAATTCAGAACCAAGAATGAAAATGGAATATGAGTTATGAAGAATAGAAGACAAAGTAATAAAACATAGGAGTGATGGAGCATGTTGATATATGTTTGTGTTAATGTTTTTTATGATATATGAATAATGTAATAAAATTTGAAGTGTCATATGTGGGACCTACAATCATTGTTGTTGAGTGTCTACATCTATGATCTATGATCTATCTATGCTGAATTTTAACCTTTTTTAATTTTTATATTACTTGGGAAATGAACTTGTTTAGACTTTATATTATGACTTGTTTAGTTTAATAGCTAATGAAAACTTCATGTTACCATATATGTGTTGTGTTCTTTCTTTTTGTCTCTCTTTTCTTCATTTGGCTTGATTATTTGAGAGAGTTACCTTTCTTAATTCTTGTTTCTAAAATTGACAAAAGGATAGGAGTTGATTAGTCATATTTTGGTCCCTAATTTGATCCTTAGTTAGTAAGTAAATTAACAACTAGTTTGCAAGTATAACTCTATTGCATTGATGTTTTTAAATATATATGTACAATTTAAATGTTAATTTAGATAAATAAAACAAATTTATAATGTAAAAGCAATTGGAAGTTTCAAAAAGATAATGGTTAATAAGTAACTTTATTGTTATAAATATTAGATGTAAATAACAATATGTAATAGTACTCTCTTTGAAGTGAAATATAAGTAAAAATGAGTTGTGAAAAGTTAATGTATTTATTTAAGAATCAAAATTTGATACATTTACTTTTACTTTTTAGATATTTTTGTTTATATTTTTATTTTAAAAAGAGTATCGGTCTGAGGTTCACCTTTTTCTTTCTATTTAAATAGATTTTTTTTAGCATTGTAATATGACAACTTTTAATGTAACAAAATCTTATTTTATCGTATGATATCATAATTTTCGATTTTGAGGACTCTCTTTCGCATAAATGCAAATCGCTATCAAGTAATTTTCCCCGTCTTTTACTCTAGATTAGTGTAACTTTTTCCAATAACTTTTATCAGATCGTCAATGTTTGACATTCCTTGTTCTATTTCTAGCTGTTGATTAACCTTTATCATTGTTCATTTTCATTTATCCCACTTAAAAATGTTTTATTTCTATAAACAAAATACCGTTGTGATTGTCACCCTTAGATGGCCAGCTTCACAAAGCATCATTGTCATTGCTGCCTACACATGTCGCCTTAATCTTGGCACGTGATCCCAATCACAGTACCATCTCATGCACGTCTGCATCATGCGTCGCCATATATGCCTCAAATTTTAGAGAGCCAACCGCCAGTTTATTCATCCAACCATCTTAGTTTCGTATGTGTTGTCAAAATCAAATTCATACATACTTCGCTTTGAGGTAATTTTTGGTGATTGTTGTTTTTTTAATCAATTCATTTGTTCAACAGAGTCTTTGTTGTTGTCTCGTCAATGTAAGAAGTTATAAATTATGGTACACCTTCAACAATTACTAGTAAGACATTGTATTGTCGATCTTTTATTATTTATGATAATATTCTTAAGGATACCGGAATTATTGACTCCAATGCTACCAATCATATGACATTTGATTCCACATTACTACCATATTATACTTCTTATTATACTTCTTCTTCGAATATTCCTTATATCACTATTACGGAGGAGTCTCATATTCGTGTTGTTTTCATTAAAAATATTGACTTACAACTTTTATTTAAGTTGCAATATGTATATTTTTCAACAATTTAATTTCCTTCCATAAGCTTACCCTTATAATAATTGTAAAGTAAGATTTTTTAAATTTCTTATTCTATTTTTTAAGACCTTAATACAGAGGAAATTGTTTGAATTGCTAAAAAAATGAAAGAATTATACTACTTGGCCGAGTCTGATGGTCTAAAATATTTTTCTCATGTCTCTCTTCTGAGTCTTTCTCTCATATCTCACAAATTTGGCCTCAACTAAAGTGTCTTGGACATCCTCCATTTTATATAATTAAGTTTATATTTTTATCTTTCTTTTTACAATATTATGTTGAGTGTTTTAAGTGTGATGGTTGTCAGTTAGCAAAACACAAATGTCTCTTATACTTCTAATTTTAATAAAAGTGTTGAACCATTTAAGGTTGTTCATTTTGATGTTTGAGGACCTTCCCCCGCCTCTTATATTTTTAGTGAAAATGGTTTGTCTACTTTGTACTCAAGTAATTTGGATCTTCTTATAAAGACTAAATCAAAAGTACCATAATTATTTACCCAATTTATAACATGGCACAAACATAATTTGAAAAGTATAAAAAAAATTCAATCTGACACTGGAAAAGAATATGTCAATCATGTACTTTCCAACTTCATTGGTAAACACGTCTTTATCCATGAATTCACAAGTATCAACATCACTCATTTAATTGAAGTTGCTCCATCTCTCTTCTTTCAAATGTTTGTTCCCTACTCTTATTAAGGAGATACAGTTCCAATTAATATCTATCTAATTAATCGGGTCTCATCTTAAGTCTTATATAATGTTAGTATTTTTCAATTTATGCTTTAATTTTCTCCTTTGTTCTCATATTACAAACCTTGAGTCTTTTGTTTGTTCATGTCCATAAAAAAATTTGTAACAAGTTTGACCGTCGTGTCCTCAAATTTAACAAGTTAGTTTTTTTTTTGTCTCCAAAAGATGTCAAATTTCATGAATATGTGTCATACTTCAATCGTGTCCCTAATCTCAATGGGAGAACATAAATGACTTAAAGTTAGAGTTTCAATTCCTTACCCTTGATCCTAGCCCCCCTAGAGTACATATCGATGTTCTCAATCTTATAACTGAGTTTATAATTGTTCCTAGTTCTCCAATCTTTAACATGAATCTAAGTATACGATTGTTTCTGGTCTTTCAATATCCTCTATTTTTCAAGAACAAGTGCATCCTAAACCAACTCTAGTGTATAAGAGAAAAAGTAAATTGACCTGATCCATAAATAAATTGAATCGCTTAAACCAAAGGTAAGTACTAAAAAAATTCTTTTATTGATGATCCTCAAATTTATGATACTTGTAATACTCGCCCATATGATTTACCTATTTCTCTGTGAAGAGATAACAGATCATGTCCTTTTACACACACCACTAACACACACATACATATATTCTAAATTGTCTCTTCTAAGCAACTATCTCTATAATATTAGAGTTTTATTGAAAGTGTTGACTTTGTGAGAATTCCATCATTTGCTTAAGAGGTATTGAAAAACAATTAGGTTTAAGTTAAGGATAAGAAAATGAAGACGTCTGAAATAAATGAGACATAAGAGATTGTTGAGAGAAAAAAAAAGGTAAGTATAGAGATGGTTGTAGGTGGATCTATACTGTAAAACACAAACCAAGTGACATTGTTGATTGTTACAATGTCAAACTAGTGACAAAATGATACACTAACATGGATTATCAGGAGACATTTAATCTAGTGGCATAAATGAATATTGTTTAGATTTTATTATATTTTACTGCTCACTATTGTTGATAATTATATTAATTTTATGTAAAAAAATATTTTCTTACATGGAGATTTAAAGGAAGAGATGTATATGAATATTCCACATGATTTTGCTCTTACGGGTGGAGTTGTCAATGTGTGTCAATTAAAGAAATCTCCATGGAAAGGTACTATTATTACAAGTGACAAATTTAATTGAGAAACAACTAATCAAAGGAAAGTTATCAACAGAGTTTGAGATGAAAGACATTGGAAAACTCATATATTTCTTGGAAATAGGTGTAAAAAAACAAGATATATTTATATCGCATAAAAAATATGTGTTTGATCTTTTGCATAAAATAGGAAAACTTTGATACAAACCAATACATGTTCTCATTAAGCAAAATCACATGATAAGCTTTAGGATGAAAGTGTCAAATTGATAAGGATCAATATTAGATATTAGTGAAAAAAATTATATACTTGGCACATGTTAGCCTATATTCGACATATTTTTAGAGTGGTCAGTCAATTTATACATGATCCAAGGAAAAGACACATGCAAGCTATATATATATATATATATATATATATATATATATATATATATATATATATATATATATATATATATATATATATATATATATATATATATATATATATATATATATATATATATATATATATATATATATATATATATATACACACACACCAAAGCCACTATAAAGATATTGTTCTTGTTTAAAAGACGTGGAAGTCTAACTATGAAATGCTACATTCATATTGAGTATGCAGGTTCAGTGAGTGACAAAACATCTACTTCAGGCTATTTTACCTTTTTGTCGGGGAATTTAGTTGTTCGAAGGA